TCGATCACACGAAATGCGAAATCATCACAGAATGGTATTTTGCTAAAATATCATTATCTTCCTCCTTGTTCTACTCCTGCAGGGTCGACGCAATGGGTTTTTGTCCTCCACGTGACTCTATCATACGTCATCTCAGCCATCACCCCTTTTTGATCATGTCACATTTTTTTTTTATAATACGAGGTGGCAAACGAGCAAGCGGCCACCTGAATCTACCGAAATGGAAAACGACCGCTGCCTATAAACATCCGCAATTGCAGATGCGTTGCCTACCCTAATTGACGGAGGAGACGCACATAAAGAGGACATTTCCCCTTCCTATGTCTCTTCTCTAGGTCTCCTCCACTGTCAAATCCACTTTTCCTTCCTATCCTTTCCAATTAAGAAAAGGGTGGAAAGGAAAAGGGACTAAAATTAGGCCTCCGGCACCACACTCATCAGACGAAACGCGGAATTGCTTCCACTTCACGCCTGTTTTCTGTGTAGTCGTGGTATTACACCGGGCGAGCCGGCCCATTCGTGCGAAGATGTTAAAGCGGGCTCTACCACTGTTAACAGTGCTTTAAAGCAATTCATCAATTTTGTGTAAAATGTCTTGCTTTTGTCATTTTAGAACTTGGGAGGGAAGTAAAGTTTAACTTTCCATCATTGAATATGATAAAAGTAAATTTTTAAAGTGGTTTATTCTATTAAACCATAGACATGAGTCACAATGTTGTTTTTTTATTTGTTATAAGAAAAATATGACAATAACAAAAACAGCAATACGAGATTGATGGATCTATTTTTGTACAATTGTTTTATCGAATTGTATGAGTCAATAGAGTTGCGTAGTACAATAGACTTGAGATCAATAAACTTTTATAGTTTATTTCGCTTCGCAATACTTCATTATCGATAAGAAATCTCAGCATAAAAGTAATTGCATTTGATAAAGCGCTTACTAGTTGATAAGGTTTTATTATTGATTAAAAAACAAAGGTTTTAAAATTGAAATGTACAAGATCAATAAAGTGCACTGAACTTTATTACACCATCGCAACCCTGGCTTCACTTTAGTAGTGTAATTTGAATTGGCACGTCAGCAACAGGAGTTATTTTGTGTCCGACGTGCCAACCCCAGTGCTGTGTCAATGTCAGTGTTCATATATCGATAATGACTTTCACCTTTACACGGCTCATTGTTCCCTTGATTACGTCATATTATCGAGAGTTTTATTGCCGATACAATAAGAGCGGGCGCACACCACTGACTATACTGTCGCATAACTGTTGTGCGATTGTAGAATGTTTCGCAGACATTTCAACTGTTTAGTTGCAAAACTAAAAATCGAGTAGTGAGCGCACCTCCATATAAGCTCATAGGAATCAAAGCGAGACTAAAAAGTTGTTCGATAGTTTAGTTTCATGTGTATGCACTCTCTAAGACAATGTAGAGAATGTATATGATAATAGCTGTTGCCCGCGACTTCGTCTGCGTGGTATTAGAAAACATGAAAACTATATAAAAAAACAAAAAGCTACGTATCCCCCGGGAACCGGACATTTCTCGGGGATGAAGACTGAGAACAAAGATGATGATGATGAACAAAGATGAGACTTTGTTTTATATATGTGCCAAATTTCAATAAGATTTGTTGAACCGTTAGCAGAATGATCGAGTAATTTAATTAACTAAATTAATGAATTCCACGAGAACTGTAACTATTCCCGGGATAAAAAGTAGCCTATGTGTGCTTCCAGATTATGCTTTAAACCAAATTTCATGGAGATCCGGTCAGCCGTTTAGGCTACAAACGCTAACAAACATCCATGTGAAGTACTAGACATTTCCCGCTACGAAAAAAATACTTAATTTAAACCTAAGTGTTATTCTAGAATGTAATCTATCTCTGTGTCTTATTTAGTTTTGGAATACTTATTAACAAATATTACAAATTAATGGCTTTAAAACGTTGATTATGTTTCACAAGTTAAATTAGTAAATATCCGCCAGAATATGAAAATTACAATAATGTAACACCTGGTTATAATCTATACATTTTATTAGTTATATTTTGATTTATCAAGTACAAACATAAGATGAGATGTGGCGCCAAATTTTCTATTATATAAATATACCCTTTGTTATTTTATTATTTATAGACAATGGCTGGAAAATTACATAACAGACGTTTGTAAGAGTAAAAGGTGAAAAGGTATCTCATTAACGGCTATACGGCTTTGGATGAAATTTGGCATTAATGTAGAACATAGTCTGGAAGAACACATAGGCTATTTACTTTTGTTTTTATAAATCCCACGCGGACAAAGTCGCAGGCGAAAGCAAGTAATATTATAAATGCGAAAACTTAGATGGACGGATGTTTGTTAGAGTTCGTAACCTAAACGGCCTGAACGGATCGTGAATACGCATACGGATAGTGAAAACATATGATTTTGACATATAGAATTACTTATTAAAATTAAAATTGACACAGTTTGGTATGATTAACTTAAATATACCTACGCGTAAATGTAGCTACAAGCTATAAGATTGTCAGAGAGGCTGAGGACAAATCATAACATTAACTGTATAACTTTGACACATAGATATCAAAGTGTGTCATAATGTCGGTGCAGACGTCTCGGCAGCCGATATTGGTAAGTTCAGCAGTAGGGCTGCCAACTAAAAGCGCAAACCTCAACAGCGTGCAAGAAAGACGACTATTAACTTCGTAGGAACACAGAAAACACACACTGACTTCGTTACGACTGCGGCTGTTAAAGTTCGAGAAACGCCTAGGCGCTTGGAAGATATCTACACTCGGCACCCTAAAGTTTAAGAAAGTCTTGGTGAACCCGAAGAAGTGTCAGCCCTAACAATTTTTTCATAGGCACTATCTCCGTGCGCCCGCGCCGTTGCTTTTCGCGAATGTCGCGGTGCATGGGGCGTAGAGGTCAAAACACACACTCTACATCGACTCAAAACTTCCTTGTAACGCAGCAATGCTCATTTACACGTGAATTTGTAGAATATAACGCATAAGAAACAACTTAATTTGTTACGTTAAGTTTATAATTTTAATAAAGCACTAGGAAATAGCAATAAAAAATGCTCTGTTGGTGTGTGCCTATTTGGGCATTAACTACGCATGTCGGGATTAAGTTCTGACTAATTCGCACTAGGCTAGCAATTTAGTCCAGTACCGAGTAGTTTAGTAGTTAAAATACTCTCATGTTAATGATTTGCTAAGCTACTCGATCAAATATTCGTTGTTTAGACATGTTAAGTTACTAAATTTGGCACTAGGGAATAAGTCTGATTTCGTGTCAATGGTAAAATTAATATTATAATCATCATATTCCTTATCCTACCCCTGTAGGGTTGACGCAAGGTTTTTGTCCTCCACATATCTCTATCATACATCACGGTCATCATTCCCTTCTTAAACATGTCACCTTTCACGCAATCCATTAATAATGGTAAATTTAATATTGATTTATTTATTTATCCTGACTCATTACGTATAAATGAAAGGCTGTCTATATAAAAACTAAATAAAGACGTGGCCAAGGCCGTAGGCGGATTTAGGACTTTCATTTCCCACGTATTCTGAGAAGTATCTTTCACATTCCGAGAAAACTTGCTAAGTTATAATTATCGCTTTGGCATCATCATTCCTTTACGTTATTTCTTTAGGTTTCACATTTGTATTTTTTTCACAGTAGAAGGTGAAAACTAGAGTAAAAGCGTAGAAAACAGGTAAGGAGCGTTAGTACGTTTATTTAGAAGACATTTTCTTTTGAACACATGTGCCAGAACGTTTACTTCTTTTTTTTAATACAGATTAGTAAAATACTTTGACATGATTATCAGCTATGGAAAATAAGGGGATAGATTAAATAGAAACTCGCTATCGCACGCAAGTTGTGTTATTAGCAGCATATGCTTTCTCCGACTCGACAACCATATTAATAAGTTTCTACGAGTGCGTTGTGGTTATTTTAAGATTTAGTTTCTGATTACCAACACGCTATTTCTTTGTTACTTACGTATGGGGCAAAATTAAATGTAGTTATAATTTATAAACAATTTTTAAGACATTGCAAAGAAAAGAAATATAATTTAAGCCTACCTTCATCTTTACACACAACAGTGCAAGTACAAGGTGTGTCGCGGGCTTTACTTGAACACTATCGGATGGAATGCCACTTGATTTTTCATTTATTATAGAAATACGAAGTTTCGTTATTCTCTTTATTCTGAATGGCCGTAATTTACATAACATTGAAATAATATTTCAACAAAGGTAAATAAAAATAATTGTTGAGACCAAAACGACAAACAATCATAATAACATAATTAAAATTTAAAATAAAATAAAGTATCGTGTATAATCTTTTAGCAAAGGTACGTAAACTCAAATTTATAACGAATGTCGTGTGAGATAATATTTGAATGCAACGTAATGCAAGGTTATTAAATTAATTACTTTACGTAAGGTTATGTTCAATCTTCATGGTCGAAGACTATACATAACTGATGTCAGAGGTAACTTAACGCCTGAGCACAGCTGTCCTTAAGGCTTGTTTACAATTGTTAATTTAATCTGGCTCCTAAACAATTTACTGCCAATGTTCATATAACCTAAATCTGAATTATTACATGTATTGTTTAACACAGAACAGAAGTACGTACGAAATAATCAATTTAAATTAACAATTTACGAGAAGGGAGACAGTTCAGATAACATAATCGAGTTTAATTATTTGTTTTAATAATTATTATGTGCACAGAATTATCGAAGAGGTGACGTTACGCGATTCTTGTAACAGGTTGCGATGTAAACAATATTACTGTTGGTCCTGCCACTGCATAAACATTATTGTTCAATTGTAAGAATCTTTTCGAAAATAAGCAAAGAAATATTATGACATAAGACCTGGTAAGTTGAATCTATCAATTATTTTTGACTTTTTATCAATTAAAAATATTTTTTCTTAGATGTTCTAAATACCTGTGTCGTCGAAGGAGTCCCCGCCTGGCGGGCGAGCCGCTCGGCCCGGCACCGTCGTTATCGAGCTTTTCTGGTGATCGGAAAAGTTTCCGAAAAGCGGCAGCGACTTTTTCCTTCGAGCGGGACGTCATTTTCCACCGTTTTATCTACACTTACTATTGAACACTCAACTTTTAAATTTTTCACAAAATGTTTACGTGCTCAACTATTTATTTACATTCGCGCGTCAGCTGTCATGTCGACTGAAAACGTCAAAATTGAATTTCGAACTTTAGTGTTGTTCGTCTGCGGGTCGCGTTTGCATCACTGGTGAACACGTGCGGTCAGTCACGCAGCCGTTGCGACGATGAAAATGAAACTTGGCAAGCTTGTCGCTCGGTTATCGCTGTTCGGATGCGTAGCGGCTGGTGCGGACAGAAATGTGTCAGTCATGACAGCGCGCATATACGCGGCCGTCTCCCCGCCGCACCGGCCCTCGTGTGAATGAACTGAACCGAGCCCTAGAAACCAGTCCGTACGCAGAACCAATCGACGTCTCCGCACTGCAACAAAAGAGCTAATTTAGTAAACTCAATTTATAATTACAACAGATTGTAAGGCATTATTTTTAAATGACCGATGACTTCATTGAACATATTAAACTAACTAACATTAATTAAATTGTAACTGATGCGTTAGCGAAAGAAACAAATTTGACTTTAGTTGTCAGGTCGTAAGTTATCAGAACACGTTAGAAGGCTTATTTATTGTAATTATGTACGTGGAACATGTTTTATTCTAAATTGCAGTTGTCACTAGCATGAAAACTAGTAGCATTTTTAATGTACCATATTGATCTAAATGAATTGAGTCACAATACATTATTAACACCGGAAAATACAATTTAGCTGGGTATTAAATTGATACTATCGTCTAAAAAGCGAGATAAAAACTTCCCGCTTAAAAATTATTATTGTCACGAGCATTGTTGGTAACCTAGAAAACTGATGTTGACCTGACACGAAAGTGGGTCAAGCTGTGTTAACAAACAAATATGTGCTAAAGAAATATTCAATAACTGATTAGATTGTGTAAACATTATGTATGCAAATCTTTAGCAGTAAATAACAAAGTATTGTTATATTAGAGTTCTATACTCTTGTATAGTTAAGAACTACAACCAAGACGCTAAGTAATTAAAAAGTGTCTTTAAATTTATGAAGCCTTTCAAATTCATCTGTGATGGAAAAATTAATATTACGTGGGCAAGGCTACGCTTGCTCTATTATACGATACGTTGCAGATGAGCCATATTGACTATATTCCGAATTTGAAAGGGTGAATAGGCCTATTCTTTAGTAGGCGATATCCATTGTTCGTTTTGTGTAGTCACCACCAGAACTAGTTCTGTATAAAAAAGTCTTCGATACGTGTGCAAACAATGGTTAGGTGATAATTAGAAAGAACGTTCAAAAATATATAGAATTGAAGCTAAATAATGTCCAGTTTAATGCAATTTGTATACTTCAACCAGCGATATCACAATCTCTACCATTTCTTTGACAAGAAGTGCTTTTTTATCTTCTATTAGGAATGACAATTTAAATTACCTGCTCACTGAAAACCCCCTCGGTGGCAGCCCTTAGGTGCGATTTGAGGGCCCCGGGATCTCCAGTGGAACACCGATGCCTTTACCTTAGTCCCTACATAACACTTACTTTAACAGCCGTCCAAGAATATTTTAAGTTCTACCTTCTTTCAATGGTGTATCTGGTCAAGTTGTGATTAAAGTATAAATAAAGATAAATATTTGTAATACAAGGTGTATGTTATGAAATCATTCAGCAAACAATTTCCCGCCACAACGTTGCAGTCGTGCGATTGCTTAATCGAGATTGCGGAGGCGAGATGCAAGTGTTATAAAGCGGTTTATACGTCATCGGAATGGCCTTTATTGTACAACTGTAACACTTCACCTGTTCAATGTTTTACAAAATATTAGCTACTCCACCTAAGCTCGGATATCGATAGACGTGTATCGACAATTAGATACATATACAAATATTGTAAAGGGTTTGGTTTAAGTATTTTTGAATTTTCTGCCACGCACAGCTGCTTTGTGGAACAGTCTGTCCTCGGCGGTATTTTCAAACCACTACGATTTCCTCAAAGGCCAGCAACGTATCTGTAGATCCTCTAGTGTTGCGGATGTCCATGGACGTCATTGACCAACTCTGTGTTCCCCCGCTCGTTTGCCCCTTCTCTTATAAAAACAATCGTATTTTAGAGTTCGAAAATGGGAAATTCTTTAAATCCTCTGGCTTCGATGAACACCTCACTGTTCTTGCATTTCGTTTGCGTACTTTTATATGAAAAACAAAATTGCTTTAGTATCCATAAAGTACTTGTGATCATGCAATATTAAAGTAGAAAAAGCAATATGATTACGATGGCAATTTAGTTAAAGCTGTACAAGATGAATACTTAATAGGGTTTTCGTCCTGTAACCTTGATATAACATTGACGACGAAGGACGACTGAGTGCAAAGCCTACAGGGGCTGGCAAATTGCCCGATAGATAACTAAATTACATACATCCCCTACGACATACCACTACCCTCTTATCCGGTTTTTCTTCATAATATATTTCGACACGTTTGCCAATATTTTGTTATAAGACTATGACCTTTGTTATAAAAAATAAACATTATATTTTTTGATACAACTTATCCGAAAAAAAAAAGTATTACTTAAGCACTTAACGTGTTTGACAACCCTATTTTCTTGACGTCTAATAAAATGCTTACATCGGAGTTCGCTTTTGAATACGTATGTTAATTATTTTAACTTTAAAGCATTATAAAAAGATCTTTTATCTTTGCCTTAACATGGAACATTTTAAATTGGGTTAAAGAAGATACTAGAAAATTACAGTTTGATGAGTTTCTTCGCTTATCTCATCAAGTGGTCGGCGTCGCGTTTCAAACATTAATCATGTTCGCTTTTTATCACTAACATCTTTTTGTTCATGAAATAAATTAACCTAAATGTTAATTTGTAAGATAACTAAGTAATATTTATTAAGATTGAAACTATAGAATTTGAATGCGGGAAAACTGCAAACATGCGAAAGCTTAGATGGATAGATGAACGTTTGTCAGATTTTATAAGCTAAACGGCTGAACTAATCTCTATGAAAATTGGCATTGATGTTCATAATAGTCTGGATGAACACATAGACTACATACATTTGTTTTTTATTTAATTCCACGCGGACAGAGTCGCCTAAGAAAGCTAGTTTATCATAATAACAATATGTAATAGAGACACACATACAAGAGAGAAAGAGTGTTACACTATGTAATATGAATCTATTAATAATACGTAAACTTTTAAACATGTCATTTTAAATCTACACAGAATTACTTCTAAAAATCAGAATTAAAATGTCATTTACTTTTTTTATAAATAGAGGCGCGAGAAAAGCTCGAGAGCGATGTAATTGAGGAACTTTGGCTTCCCTGAAGGATCCTTTACATTTCTCGGCGTTGAAAATTAATGCGGTCGCCGCTTATACGGGAACATGAAAGCTTTATAAAAAGCTCTGAGAAACTTTATAATTACGTTTCGAGACACGGTCTGCGTTTGCTGACATATTTTTTTTATATAATTAAGCACTTATGGATGTTATCGTAATAGTAATAAGTTAGAAACTAAAGGAATACTTTAAATTATAATACAATACTGATCACAAATTGAGTTTACGAGTAAACTAGCTTGATCTGAACCCAAATCTGGACATGATGGGTTGTGTCGTTAAAATCAAGTAAAAAGATACCCAAAGCTCCTCCTATTTAGCGCATTTGTAAAGAAAATCATGACGACTATTAATAAAAAAATATCGTATTCTAAAATCAAATAATTTAGGGTTCTATTAGTTTTACGAAACAGGAGTGCAAATCAAATTTACCCTAACTACGCACACAGTGAAAAGGGCAAACAAATTAAATTAATTGAAAACAGGGTTAGAGAATTATTAATAGTACGGAAGCTTAATTTATTATTTACTTATATTCCAAGGGGCAATTACGAACATCCATAGTATTGACATAAAACTATAGACACGTCTATAGATAGAAGTCATAATTAAAGAGCATTAGACCACGACTATAAATAGGACAAGGACGAAATATAAATAAGAGATACTACTGTTTATAATGTATACAGAATATTAACCTTCGTTAACCTTGTACAATAAAAACAAAAACAACATTAAGGTATGTTCCAGTTAATTGATAAAGATCTCAAAATACAATACGTAACACAGGAAATATTACTATATATTATGTAACTCGTGTTTTGGTTTTGTCCAACAAGGCCTTTAATTGACTCTACATTTGGCTGATAATGACCAGAAAAAGAGAGGAACCATGTTAAACTTTATGAAGAAAGTCTCCTAATGAAATGCGTTATCTATGGTCTTAAATATTACGTAGATGTAGTGAACATTTGCTTAAAATATTACAATTTATTTCATGTAAACGTAGCGCACTGAAATACATTTCCTGAATATTTAACATTAAAGCTCCTTTAATAAATTTTACATTCAAGAAACAGCTTGGAGTGTTTACAAAGAGGTGTAGCAGGAGGGTTGTGAGGGCGGCCCTCCGTGACGTCACGGTCTCGACAGCGCCCTCACGCGGAAATAACGATATACAAGCAATTTACATTTATGAAAATTGTCTTTGCGTAGATAATGACCAATTTACATTTTTATGTATTTATTCATACTATGTTATGACAGAAAACTGAAGTATTAATTCAGAAAATGAAAGTTATTTACAACTAGGGATTATTTGGGATTCAGAATTATTAAAAGTTACAAAGAGACATACTTAGTTTGTTAAACAAATATAAATAATGAATTCATAAGTAGTTCACATTCCGCGGCGAAGGTCGGCTACTCGTGTATTGCCTAACTTACGATAATAATTAAAACAAATAAAATAACAATATTATTGACCTAAAGGGGTAGATTATAGATTTTATATCTACGGCAAAGGCACTTTTATACCTGTACGTTTTATACTCCTTCTACGTGCACCTCGAAAAGTTAACTCATCCATACCTTTGTAAATTTAAATTCTGATTGATTTCTTTACATTTATTAATGAAAATTCGTACGTTAATATATTTTTTGTCCGCATGGAAAGATAAAATGTTTGTAAAAAGCATTAGGGATGAGGTATTTACTGGAGCGTGTGGGTCGACTGTAATGAGCCAGTGGGCTCGAGCGTTCGCTTCATTGCGCATTCTGACCCCGCCACGGTCATTTCAGAACCTGTTTATTCCCCTAACCATTTAATTCGTACAAAAGGAAAAAGCTATGAGCGCGAAATTACATTACATATTTGTTTTTTTAACTCGTTTTAAACCATTGATACGTTAAAATGTCTAATTCAATAAACTAAAGAAATACGCTTTTTGATTTCGACAAATGCTTATTTTAGGAACGACAATCTGAAAAATTACTTACTTTTACTTTATTTTATTCAATGTCTTA